TGCCTAACCCTACCTAATTGCCTTTCCCCCTGCAAAGCAGCCTAAAATGATCTTGGAACACATCATTTGCTTCATGTATCTTTGCCTTTCCGACAATAGCTTGAGGTTAAGATGACTTTGCTTTGAAATGGAACACACAGAAACTTACTTGTATAATTCCCAATGCATGCATCTTTCCACTTGGCAGATAAAGCAGAATAATAGTTGCCTTCACTCTCCAGTAAACAAACTGTACTCTTGAAGGCCAGTGTACCCTTATTGAAAAAGCAGAGAGCTCAAAGACCTCACGCTTTGGACAATCAGCTCACTTTTAAACTGATCCTGTTAAGGCCACTGCTAATGACTACATGGCATAAGGAAGAGAACGGAAATGAGGGTTCTGTGTTTTTTGTTTTGTTTTTTTTTTAAACAACAGAACTCTGGTCACTCAGATATGGCAGACAACAGAATATGAGAACACTTGTACACTTTTATAACATGACATTTTTGAGGCCTGGAACATGCTTAGCTGTGGTCAATAAGGTGAGTTGTCCAGAAAAATTACAACCTCCTGGAATTTTACGAAATCAGGTCACTGGCTTGGCCATTTGGCCTAAAAACTGGATTCGCATTCTGGTCAGGCTAGGGTTTGGGTTGAAAAAGCGACAATCCCGATGACAATCTCGAGGACTGGAACACACCTTGCCAGGGACAGGATGAGTTGTGCAGAAAAATTACCACCTCATTGAATTATGCGAAACCAGGTCACCAACTTGGCCATTTCTGCCTAAAAATAGGGTTAGGGTTCTGGTCAGGTTAGGATTAGGCTTTGAAAAATGATGGTCCCAATGTCCGTTTTGAGGCCTGGAACTTTCTTAGCCAGAGCCAAGAAGCTGAGCTGGGCAGAAAAATTACCACCCCCTGGACTTTTGCGAAATGATGTCACTGGCCTAGCCATTTTTCACTTTCTCGGCCTTGAATAATCCATGTTTACAAGTGCCAAGCAGTGCTGTCAAGAATAGGGAAATTTGGAGGGCATTCATTCACAAGATTGCCATTTGTTGGAAATGAGTTGATGGCATATAACAACAAGCACAAAAAATGCATTGGGTTGTCTCCTTAATAACTTTCTACAAATATCAATTCACATCATATATACAGCTTCAGCTGCTGGGTATATAGAAATGTCATAAATAAACTATTTCTACAGCCATGGGGAAAACAACGTATTTGGATAGTCACTATGGCTTTGCTTTTTCCTCTCAGCCAGGCTGTCTTACCTTCAGATTTGGCAGGTGTTCCACCAGCATACCTGTAGAGTATCTCCAGTCCAGACATAATATAAAGGATTATCCTGTGTAGATGCTGCTGTGCCCTACTCATTCCCAGTGAGGCATAAATGTTTAGGAAATGTGTAGGTGAAATCCAAAAGCAACTTGCCAGTTTATCTATATTAAAACATCATGGCACCAGCACCGGCAATGGTGACCAAACTGATCAGGGCCTGGAACAATTCTATGAGGAAATGTCACAATATTTGGTTTTGTTTTGTTTTTTTTTTTGCTTTAGAAAACACAAGAAGATATACAATAGAGCAGTATAAAATTATGCAAGCTGTGGGGAAATTCAGAAGTTCTTCTCTCCCATAATACTAGAATCCATGGTCATCTCATAAAACTGAATGGTGCTCTGAGAGGCATGTGCCCCTAAAAGGAAGTAATTCTTCACATGGCACATAAATAGGAATTTATTATCACAAAATGCAGTGATGGTCGTCAACCTGTACAGCTTTAACAGAGGACTGGACAAGATAACATCAACTACTACTAGTGTGTTTCATCTCCAGTTATCAAGAGGCCTGTCTGTGGTCAGTCCAACAGTCAGCACTCGGCATGGCCTTGGTCACCCTTAAATCCTGTCTGTCTTTCCTCTGCACGATGACATAATCAATGAGATGCCAGTACTTGGAGTGTGGGTGCATCCAGGACGCCTTTTTGCAAGTGGGCAGGCGGAAGATGGTATTAGTGATGTTGCCAATTGCAGCACCCCAAAACACCCCAAAAGTAATTGGCCAGAGAAAGGCCCCAAAAGTAGTTGGCCAGAGGAAGGCTACATAGTAAAAACACCACAGTTATACTGTCCCAGAAGGGAAGGCAGATAAGAACAAAATGAATGTTGTGTAACCCACAGCTAACACGCTAGCCTGACCTTGAATACAGTAATCAAAGGGACAGTGGAAACTGGTCGCCATGAAAGTTGCAAATGTGCAGGGAGTAAGAACATGGCAAGCCTGTGTGAATGTCGAGCAGATAAGAAATAGACATGGGAAATGTCTGGTCGTTGACAGAAGAAAGAACTCTTTCTCCAGCACGGGAGGGGGTGCATACATTGATGTATCGATGTATTAGATGTGTATTAGGTGACCTAATTGGTACCTAGGGAATAAAATGCATGTACTGGGGTGCAACTTTTGAGACACTGCTTTGGGCCGAATGTTCCCTTTTGTCTCCCTTTATTCTATAGTGCACTAGAATAAAGCTGATTTTGGCTCTAAGTCTCGTCTCAGGCTCTGTTTGGCTCGGGTCTGGGTTCCACCTGGGATTGCCCCAGTTCTTGACTGGCTGAGTCCGGTAACAGTGATGATCAGATCATGAGCCGCACATGTCTTCAGTAGTAGTAGGCCATTGCTGTTACATTTGCCGATTCCATTTTTTCCAATGACGCCATCCCAGGCAGAGTGATTGGATCAGACTCATCATCTCCAAATTAAGCCTTCACATCAAGCCTAAGAGACGTCCGCAGGGAAACAAAGCTGTGACGAAAAAGATCAACGTCAGTAAACTGAGGAACCCCAACACAGCAGCTTCACTAGCAGAAGATCTTGACAACCAACGCTCAGAGTTGCAATTAGAGGAAAATGCTGAGAAGGACTGGGAACGCTTCTGGGATATTGTGCACTCTTCTGCACTAAAGGTTCTTGGACCCTCACACAGGAAACAGCAGGACTGGTTTGATGAAAATGATGAAGAGATCAAGGCCTTACTTGCTGAAAAGCACCGCCTTCACCGTGCTCATCAGTACGACCCATTGTCAACAGCTAAGAAAAATGCTTTCAACAATGCTCGCAGGACTGTACAGAGCAAGCTTTGCAAGATGCAGGACTCCTGGTTGATTGCCAAGCAGATGAAATCCAGAAGTTTGCTGACAGAAACGATGCCAAACGGTTCTACAAAGCCCTCAGATCCTTGTATGGACCTCAGCCCTCAGGGAGCTCCCCTCTACATCTGCACCTCAGATGGTGCAACTCTCATTACTGAGAAGACTCTGATTCTACAGCATTGGGCTGAGCATGTCCAATCAAAAGACCTGTGCCTCTGTATACCAGTTGCTGGAGAACACAAGCAGGAAAGTTTACTAGGTAGGTCTTTCACCTGATCTGGCAGGACACTTTTTACATCCATATATATTAATCAACAATTAAACATAAGAGCTCAATAAGAGCAATGTTAAGAGTAGAAGAACTATGCTTACAATCCATAGTATAACCACTCATTTTTCTGATTGATGATTGAAAGTGTCAGAATCCTGGAATCTCAATTTGAGAAGAGGGAATAAAACTTGGGTTCGTGGGAAAGACCAAGCGTCCAGACCATCTGAGGCTTTATTGTTTTACCCCAAGGTTCCCGCGGTACACTCACGATAACGCAGGCTGCATTACTGGGCAGGCAGAGATGAACTCTGCTGCAAAGCTTCAGTACCATTACAGGGCATTTATAAGTACACAGGTACAGGGCAATTGATGACAGAATGTAGAGATTACAATAAGATTCTGAGGTCATCACATACAGAACAGATAAAGAAATGTCAGTCAATCACACTGTAACAATAAGATTAAAATATTTCTAATTGCCTGTTGACACTTTAGTTGAGTAACTTGAACCCATCTCCAGGTCTGCTC